AACAAAAGGACACATGTAATATTTTATTGTTATGTACTTATTTTATATGGTAAACTTATTCATATGCCATGTGTATTTAATAAAATGAGAATAATTTTGCTATTAAGATAAACAAAACTTTGAAACAAGATCATATCTGACAATTATAATTTTATATTAGATCCAAATCTAGTTCACTTGTTTGTAGAACCTTGGCCTCTTAAGGCACAGTGGAATTCAGTTTGAAAATTATTCTAGAATGTATCTTCTTTATGTTGTTTTTTGATGTTCATGAAGATGGAATATAAGATCTATATGTACATGACTTAACAGTTTAAAATTGTTGCCTTGTCATAGCCTTGTGTTTATATTTGTTTTCGTTACTTTTTTTAAAACAAAATAATTGTTTTTCCTAACTGATTCAGTGTCCATTTATTTAGTGGCTTAAAATGTGTTCTGGGATCAGTATTTATCTCAGTTTCATCAATAGCTTTAGCATTTTTGTTTCACTTTAGTCACTACACTGCAAAATCTTTAGGACTGTCTTATATGACATAGTCGATTCTCATAATTTGAACACTAATTTATGTAAATCATTCAGTCATATGAACTGTCCCTTAAAAAGAAAAAGAAAAACATTTTAGTGTGTTTGAGGGATTCTATTCATCATTCCTTTCAGCAAGGTTATCCTTGGAGTGAACATGACATAGAAAAGTGAATGTGCTGTGACCTTAATCACTCTTATTTTCATGCCTTTTAATAGTAATAACAGCTCACTATCTTGGTGGCGAGAGTGGGAGGGGAAGAGACTCTAGTGTTTAAAAATACATGTATTTAAAACATTTTATATAAGGTAGAAAAACTGTCCATGTTGAAATTACTGAACAGTTTATATTGGTCTTGAGTGAGATCTTAGGGAAATTTTAATAACTCAGTCTTTTTGCCTTCTATTGCTAACTGTAATATTTACCCCTGCCCTCTACAAGATTATTACTTGCACATGAGGAAATACTAACGCCCTATGGTTACTCAGGATATTATTGCTAATTCTTTCACTGCTGTGTTGCATTTTTGCAACTGTAAGCATAAATTACCCCTTACTGAGATGATTACTTTTGGGATTGGTGATAGTTTTCAAATTTTCTGTTCCAAGTTCCAGGTTAGCTATTATGCTGGGTAATTAAAGGCATAATAAATCTGGGAGCTGAATAATTGAAGTTTTATGATGTTATTTTGTCACTTGTTAAAATTCTTCCCTTTTGTTTACTCTTTTTCATAAACAATTTCATCTACGTAAGCCTCTAAGAGAAATGTTAGGGTGGTGACACTGGCCAAGGGTCCAAACCTGAATTTGAATACTGTTTTTCCTACCTTTTTCTGACGTTGACAAGCTTATTCCATTTTCTTTTCTTTTCTTTCTTTTTTTTCTTTTCTTTTTTTTTTTTTGACAGAGTTTCACTCTTGTTGCCCAGGCTGGAGTGTGATGGCACGACCTCGGCTCACTGCAACCTCTGCCTCCCGGGTTCAAGCGATTCTCCTGCCTCAGCCTCCTGAGTAGCTGGGATTACAGGCATGCACCACTATGCCTGGCTAATTTTTGTATTTTTAGTAGAGATGAGGTTTCTTCATGTTGGTCAGGCTGGTCTCAAAGTCCTGACCTCAGGTGATCTGCCTGCCTTGGCCTCCCAAATTGCTGAGATTACAGGTGTGAGCCACTGTGCCCTGCTAATTTTTGTTGTTGTTGTTGTCCAGACAGTCTCACTCTGTCGCCGAGGCTGGAGTGTAGTGGTGAAATCTTGGCTCACTGCAACCTCCACCTCCCAGCTTCAAGTGATTCTCCTGCCTCAGCCTCCCCAGTAGCTGAGATTGATTACAGGCGCCCACACCACGCCTGGCTAATTTTTGTATTTTTGTCAGAGACAGGGTTTCACTATGTTGGCTAGGCTGATCTTGAACTCCTGACCTAAAGGGATCCACCTGTCTTGGCCTCCCAAAGTGTTGGGATTATAGGTGTAAACCACTGCGCCCAGTCGCCTTTCTTGCTTTACTGGAGACAGAATCTCACTCTGTTTCTCAGGCTGGAGTACAGTGGCAGTCTGAGCTCACTGCAACCTCCACCTCCTGGGTTCAAACAATTCTTGTGCCTCTGCCTCCTGAGTAGCTGGTATTACAGGCATGTACCACCTTGCCCAGCTAATTTTTATGTTTTTAGTAGAGACGGGGTTTTATCACATTGGCCAGGCTGGTCTTGAACTCCTGGCCTCAACTCCTGGCCTCCTTCAGCTTCCTGAAGTACTGGGATTACAGGCATGAGGCATTGTGCCCTACATTCATTCCATTTTTTGATTCTCATTTCTTCATCTATAAAATGGGGCAAAATTCCTATCTATTTGGCAAGCATATGCTGAGAATCAATTTACATAATGTTTCAGAATAGTATCTTGAAATACTCTGCAAAAATCTTGCATACTAATTTTCTCAGTAATATCCAAATGCATTTCAGTTTATTTGCCTCTCAAGTGTCATATACCTTTTCAAGTGTGATTGGATCAGTGTATATTTAAAAACTATGAGAAATTTCTTGTATAACTCATGCTCAGAAGCAAGAAGTGCTAAGTAACACTATATCCACTTAGTAATGTTATATATTCATTTTTGTAGTACTGGGACCTACTCTGTTAGCATAAATTTGCCATCCTTTGTTGTATATGGATATGGCAGATGTATTTATTAAGTAAAGCCAATATAGAATGTTGACATTACAGAATTTAGAGGAGTAGGAGAAATGTTTTGGGTATAGTCTGGCTGAGTTCTTCAAATATACTGTGAGAAAATAACTTATCTAAAAACATGACTTGAATTCATGGCCTAGAGTTTCCTGTGTTTCAGTACAAATGAGAATCATAAAAACAGTAATTTCTGTTTCAGAAAAATTCATTTGCAGAGCTACAGACTGGCAGCCAGCAAACACTTTTATTCTTGTTTTTATTCTTTAGCCACTAGCCCATTTCTCTAATTGTTAACATTTAAAGTTGTCAGATTTTACCTAAAAATCTAGGTATCTTGCCTCTTGAAAAGCAAACAACATTTTTGCTTGAGAATCACAACCTATATAACTGAGTATAGATGCTGTCTCCTTCAGATAGGGCCTCCTCTTGCCCACCTCTGGTCCTCTTCACTGAATCACATTACCTGTGTGGCCTTGGAAAACAGTTCCTTTTAAATATCTATCATACGTATTTGATAGGTTATTGGCAGCCTTAAATATCTAAAATACAACTTCTAACCCAAAAGAAGGTAAACATAAGTAAAATGTAGCCTACTTTACTTGGTAGGAGAGACTTAGAATATATAAAGTCAGTTTACTCTTTAGAAGATGTGGCACCTTTTGTAACCTTTCACTTTGTCCTAATTTTTTATAGAGTGCCATGGGAGCCAAATGAAGGAGATCCAATGACATAACAACAAGTAACAATTGATTGAAAGTGAAGAGATTAAAGAAATGCTAATTAGAAACATAAGTATCTTGAGATCTTTTATGTGATAATCAGTTCTGTTTAAATGTTATCACTGTGTTAAAGGACATCACTATCAACTTGATGTTCTTAATGGTGATACTGAATAAGAAAAAGTTAAAGTGTATTCAAGCTATGCGGTTTACTGAACAGGTAAATGAAATAACATTTTATAAAAGATTTTTGCTCAAATTAGTTGAGCTAAGAAGTTTTATCACTTAAAATAATGAGTAAATGTCCTAATAGAACGTTTTCTTAACTGTACACTAGATTAGATAATGGCTGTTAGGCCATTACAAACTTTATTTTTTTGAAAACTTACTACTGTTTACATTTATTAATTTAACATTTACAGTGGCTATGTGAAGACTACCTTGATGATGCATGAAGCATGATAATTTATAATCTTGATCTGACTTAAATTTGAATTCCACATTTCCCAGAGGAAAGCCAGCTTGTTAACATTCAAATAATACCACGACATTGGTAACTCTAAGGAAGAACTCAAAGACTGTTACGCCTTTTTGGAAAATGTTTACTAGTTAGAGTTCAGCTTTAGAGAAAATTGAAAAAGTGATTAACTTGCACAGGAAACAGTGACTCCCCTGCTTTACTGTTCTTCACACTTTGAAAAGAGAAAGTGATTTGGGAGAAAGCCTAATGTCTATTCAAATAAGTGATTGTTTTTTTAATTGCCCAGGTTAGAACTCTCACAAAGAGTTCTCTGTTGATGATTTGTAACCGTCTGTTATTATTCATTAATATGTGAATATGGAAATTGTGAAAACAGCACAAATTGATTTGGTAAATCTTCATCAGTTTAATGAAAGAGGGACCTTAACACTGGAGAGAGGTCTGAGGAGTTGCTTCTGCATCTGCCTAAGGGAATCTGTCTTTCCTTCTGAAGTAAGCCAGATACAGCTAGCCAACTGCCAGTAGAACTGTCTGACCTAGTATATCCCTTTGTTGGATATAGAAGTACCTGTATCATGGCATACATAGTGGAAAACATTAGTATAGAAGTTAGGAAAAGATCATTTCTGCTCTGATACTGTTATTAAGTAATTATGTAGTTTTAGATGAATATTTAACCTCTTTGTGTTATCCCTGATCATTAATTGAGAGGGGTTGTTGGAAGAACACCAACTTTGAGTCAAGCAGTGTCGGGGTGAATCCATGTTCTTCCTCTCATTAGTTATAGGTTATCTGAAAAATGGATATATAGTGTTCAAAGTACAGTACCTATTTATGATTATGTGTTCAATAAGTCTTAGGTATTTTGTTTGTTTTGAGACAGAGTTTCGCTTTTGTTGCCCAAACTGGAGTGCAATGGTGCAATCTCAGCTCCCTGCAACCTCCGCCTCCCGGATTCAAGCAGTTCTCCTCCCTCAGCTTCCTAAGTAGCTGGAATTATAGGCGTGCGCCACCATGCCCGGCTAATTTTGTATTTTTAGTAGAGACAGGGTTTCACCATGTTGGCCAGGCTGGTCTCGAACTCCTGACCTCCAGTGATCCACCTGCCTTGGCCTCCAAAAGTTCTGAGATTACAGGTGTGAGCCACCACGCCTGGCCAAGTCTTAGGTATTTTTATGGAATGAGGCAAGTTACTTATTTTCAGAACCTCAGTTTTTCTTGTTTTTAAAATGGGAATAATGTTTATCATAAAGAACTAATATTGGGGTTTAAATTAGGATAACAAATATAAAACAACTAGTGAAGTGTAGCACAAATTAAGTATTGGTTGCATTTGTTTCACAAGATTCCCTTTAGCACAGATCTTTGTTTTTTTCTTTTAAAAATCATTATTTCAGGAAGAATGGGGTTGGGAGAAATCTGGTCTACTGGGTAGTTTGGAAACGGATCTTTAGGGAGAGGGCATTTTTAGGGACCTGACTAATTTACAGTAAAAATGTCAGAGAGCAGGGTGTTTAGAATCTCCAAGTGAAGACTTTGAAGAGTCTAAAGGGGACAAAATAAGAATTCTTACTTGTGCAAAGGCAGCATGGTAGAGTGAAAACTAAAACAGACTGTGAATTGATCAATTACTCAACAAATTTAACAGCTATTTATTATGCACCTATTATTTGCCAGGTACTGTTTGATGCTTAGCATATAAGATCCTTGCTCTCCCTCAGGGAGTTTACACTGTGGAGGTAGTGGGAAGACACAGACAATAAATACGAGAGAAGGTTGCAAATACTTAGGGATTATGAATGCTGTGGGGTAGGGTAGAATAGGTATCTAAGAGCTAGATGAGCACTACTCAAAATGTGGCCTGTGATCAGTCTGAGAACTGTTTGCTTTTGGTCCTCTGTGAGATAACTGAAATTGAGAGTTTATAGAAATTTTTACATCAATCTGATAATGTAATTTTATGTCGATTGAGTCAAAACAATTAAGACTCATTTTATATGCCTATTTTAAATTTCATTTTTCAAGTAATTCATTGCCACCATATTTTACAACAGCATTGATCTATAATGGGTTGAAAATAAAACACCAGTCTTTACTGTATTCATTTGAGCAGTGAGCTAGATCAACAGTTGCCATTGTTAGGACTTTTAGTAAGCGTGTTGTGGAGATTTTCAGCTTGTTTTGATGAATTAATTCACTCTCAAGTAATTAGCTTATTTGGCTTAAAAATATTTACATCCATGTTATTTACACTATATTTTATGTTGGACTGAACGATTTTAGGTCTTTTGATTTTCAAATACTTTTATTCATGGTTGGATGCATGATACAAGTAGGAAGAGACCAAAATTAAAACTATAAGGTATATAATAAGTGATTTCTTTTTTTAATTTTTAACTTCTAGATTCGGTTCTCAATACTTAGATTATTTCTAATATATTTTTTCTCAACTCATATTTTATGATCAGTATATGGTACTTAGAAAGCTCTTTTGATATAAGACCTTTCCTCCAACCAAGAGTTAATTGATATGGTGTACACTGCATGAAATTAAATCATTATGTTTGTTCCCATCACTTCATCTGCTGCTGGTGGGTTGTAGATCCTGAGAAGAGAATATAGTTGTTTGAGAAAATTTATCGTTGATAACCTAGGTAATATTTTTGATTGTCTGTATAAGTTCTACCATTTGTATTGATAAATAATAACTTTGAGTCCCCTCATTTATAGCCCCATTATCTTTTTTATGTAATAGGGGTAACTTAAGAATTATGTTGAAGATAGCTGAAAATAAGATTTAGAAATACGGGAAATATTTTGGATAACCCCTAGTTAGCATTTTAAGTACTTCTTTTCATTTTATTATTTCAGATGTGGGACTAAATTAGTTTCCGGATTGTTATTTTAAAATGAAATTTAATATAGCTATAGCCTTAACGAAAATGGTAATGGAGTAGAATTATATATTAATAGATCATAAATTAACTACAAACTAAATAAAAATTTTTTAAAAAGGCCTTACAGATAATGACTCAACTCTTGCCTTGTCATATCTGGCCAGTGAAAACAATACATGAATGATACAGGTTTGAAAAGAATGTGGCACAGACAGAATATTTTCTTGTGAAGACGTTCTTAATTTAATATGCCTAGGTTTTGGTACTGAGCATATGCTTTGGTAATATTAACTAGTGGTAAATGTGTTGAATTGTTTAACCATCATAATAGTGATACTTGAAGGTACACAATGCTTATTATTTGGTGAAATGTTAATATACTTATAAGAGCAAATCTACTTAATGATGTTTACTATTTAATTGATTGGTTAAAATTTGAAAGGTAGTTGTAGAGTAGAATGAGGATAGCTTTTAGGTAATGTGAATTATAATTTGTAAAATTTTTAATGATTGTTAAACAGCAGCCATTGAATTTACGTGGTCTGTGCCATAAGTAAGCTAAGGCTTTTGAATATCTCTGAGAGTTAAAAATATTTTTATTGTGGTGGGGGGTGGAATTTCAGTTATATAAGAATTATAAATTGGTTTTCTTTTATTACCTGGATTTGAATTATATTAGTAAGTAGATAACTAGATATATTCTAGAACCAGTCAGTACATGTTGGGGAACAAATGGGGAGGGTTTACTCAGCAGTACTCTCCTTTAGTTTGGTCATGAAATGAGGACTGCTTTATGTAAATTGTTCTTACTGGCGCCAGCTAGCTGTAACTGCAGTCTGGCTGTGCTGGGGCAGCAAATAAAATGTGTCATGGATTTTCTGTTTGGAATGTATAAGAATTCAGCCTTTTGGACTGAAAGAACAGAGTTGATACATTAGAATAGCAGTAGTGAGACCACAATTGACAGTGAATATGTGAAATAGTGAGAAGCTATAAGCCTTTTAAGCTTTTAGTTCTTTTATAGATTTATGCCTATTGATACTATTGGGTAATATGTGGGAGGTACTTAACTGCACACAGTTGCTGCAGACCTAATAGTTGGCAGCATAGAAAGCAGTACAAAGAATTCTGATTCTAGGCATTTTCACTTGAAATAGTCATTTTGAAGATATACTCTGTGTGTTCTGTGAGCTTCATTGACATATTGTCTGACGTTTTTTGGCTTTTGTGGTAAATGGGATGTATGCTGCACAAACTACCCAACAGATGTGAACCACTGTTTGAAAGGAATTTTAATATGTAGCCAACCTACTATATTCTTTTTTTTTTAATGAATATGAATCAAACAAGAAATTTAGACTCAAGAAGGCTTACCTAGAAGTCTGCATTAGCTTTTAATGTTTATACAAATGAACTAAGTAGCAGTGGTTTACAGAAGAGGAAGTCCTTTTCACAGTGTCAAGCTGCCCACAGGTAAGAGATTCAGGTCCTTTTTCTGTGACACCTACCCCCCAGGCTTTATATTTTTCTCTCACCATTGGTAAGTTTTAAAAAATTTGTTTGTTTTTAGTTCTAATGAAAACAGGATTGGTAGATCGTTTAATGTTAATATTCAGGAGATTTTGAATGCCACATTTGGATTTGGTATTTTTTAAAATGTAATTTTCATCTTCTCAAAATTCCTTCACATTTGAATTGAAATGAACTAACAGTGGACTTCATATGTGATTATTACTCATGCATACAATATGTTCATATTACATAGAAATCAGTTTTAGATCTCTTTTCATTATAGTCTGTTAGTATATTCTCAGTTGTAGTGACACCAACTGGTACATGCAGAGAGATGACATTTTGTAACCTCACTTAAGTATAAAGTTTAAGTTTAAATTTACCACTTTGAATTCACCTTTACAAATCAGAGTGCTTATGTTTTCAAATATGGCTCATTGACATACATTAGATAATGTATATTTATACATATAACTTGGTCAGTTTTTCTACTTCCACCCTTATTCTTTCCATTTCTCTATATTTAAATTTATTATTATTTTAATAAAGTGAATTTTAGAAGTCTAAAATGAATGTATTAATTAGGAATTCCATTAAATTTAATATTTCTTAACCTGGGTTAAAGAAACACAGTCATTTGTTATTCTTTTTTTCTACACTTGAAATATTGTATACAAAAATACAAAATTCCATTGCAATAAAAATAACACCATTGCTGTAAAGATACGAAGGTGTATGCTTATAAAGAAATGCCAATATGTGTGTTCATTCGTATCAGTATGGCCAGAGATACATTACTGATTGTAATAATTTTTGGAGGGTGGGTGTGAAGAGTTGAATAGCAGAGTCAAGTGAAGAGTGGTAGTGAGATAGCTTAGAGAAGTGTATCAAAGAAAGGAATTATGTTAGGCAGCTCTCTGCTCTTTCCCTCCCTCTTTAGAAGTCAAGCAGCAGGCTCTTTCTGTAACCATAAAGTGTTACTTTTAGGTGGGACTTCCAGTTCTCTAATTTCTGAAAGTTTGGTCACTTATTGCTACATGGTTGTATACTTTAAAACTGGGGGCCAGCTGTAATAGAAGCCATACTCATGTTTCAGGGGCAGGAACTGTTCCTTACTTGTTGCCTTTTGACAATGTTGCTTGGATTAAAAAAAAAAACATGTATTTTATTGAGTATAGAAACAACATTTTTTGTGTGTGTTTCATCTCAGTAAACAATTTCACTATGATTGACAAAATGATAATAGTAGAAAGAAATCAATTTTGATTAATGTGTTTGAGGTTGGGTGCGGGAAAGGTCATGCTTCTTGGTGTAGAAGACATACACATCTGAAACAGTAGGAAAAAGTTTTTCAAACTTCTCTTGTGCTATTATATTGGTTAGGGGAATGCTGCCCAGGGAAGATAGTTGAGATGGGTTGGTTTTTAAAATATAGACAAAGAGAAAAAGAGTTGATAGACAAAAACAGGAATTTATTGAATGCTGTTAGAGTTGGAGGTCATAGCAAAGAAAGATGAGGGATAGTAGGACAGAGGTGTATTTTGTATATAGACAACCAAAACAAAGATAAAAGTCATGAGTATGATTACAGGCGTGGTGGCTCGCGCCTGTAATCCCTGCACTTTGGGAGGCCAAGGCAGGCGAATCACCTGAGGTCAGGAGCTCGAGACCAGCATGACTAACATGGTGAAACCCCATTTCTACTAAAAATACAAAGAATTAGCCGGACATGGTGGCGTGCACATGTCATCCCAGCTACTTGGGAGGCTGAGGCAGGAGAATTGCTTGAATCCAGGAGGCAGAGGTTACAGTGAGCCAAGATCGCACCATTGCACTCCAGCTTGGGCAACAAGAGTGAAACTCCGCCTCTAAAAAAAAAACCAAAAACAAACAAAAAAACAAAACACCAAAAAAACAAAGTCATGAGGATAAAGGTATATATAGTCTTTGAGGCCACTGAAGTTGAGTGTGAATGATCCGAAATTTGTAGTTTAAAAATCTTTGAGTTCCTAAAAAGTGTTTGTGTTCCTCTTAAAAAACAAAATGTATTTAGCAAGCAATGTAGAATCTCAAAATCTTCAAAATGAAATTAACTAATGAAAAGTCTAAAATGAATGTATTAATTAGGAAATCAATTAAATTTAATATTTCTTAACCTGGGTTAAAGGAACATAGTCATTTGTTATTCTTTTTTTCTGTGCTTGAAATATTATATACAAAAATACACAATTCCATTGCAATAAAAATAATATATTACCATTACTGTAAAGATATGAAAGTGTATGCTTATAAAGAATTTTAAAATTTTGTATACAGTATTTCAGGTAGTTTCTAATACTGTTCTTTGCACTGAAACCTACTGTTTGATATTCCTGACAGATAATTATGTAGTTTATACTTCACCATTTCTAATGATGGAAGGCAGAGTCTCTAATTTCATAAGGCAGTTTCTTCTTTTGTTGGGCATCCAAACAAATTAACGTTTGTTGATTTTGAGATGAAGTTGCCTTTCATTACTTTTATTTTTGCCTGTGATAGTCCCCCACTTCCTGTCTGTCTGTAGCTCTCTTTCTCTTTTATGTCTTTTACATGACAGATACTATTTAAAGAAAGCTCATTAAAATTTTCTTACGTTTTCTAGGCTAAATATCAATATCCTTCATTTTTCCCCAACATTTCCTCATACAACATACTGTTCCAGAGCATTCTTTAGCATGGTCATCTCACAGTTATTGAGTCCTTCTTTATCTGTGATGCTCAGAACCAAACATAATTACTCTAAAAATGTTCCCCTTCTCCTTGGCTGTTTGTTCTACAGTTTAACTTTGCATTAGCATTCTGGTAGCCACCTTGAGCTGTTGGATTTTCTGAGTTTGCATTAAGTTAAAACACCTCAGTCTTTCCCTAACAGGCATTGATAAACTTTAATATACTTTAATATTTGAAACAACTATGTTACCTTATTATGTTTTCTTAGTAATTTCTAATGTTGTTCATTATATTTAGTATGCTTTGTCTCCATCTTCCTTGCAAGGTTTTTTTCTGTTTTAATAGTGTTTTTAAAGAACTGGCTTTTGGTTCCTTGATTGCTTGCTCTTTTGTTTTCTTTCATAATTTTTCTGCTTTTATTGTAATTCCATGCTTTGGGATTATACCTTTTTGCCTTTATTAATGTTTTTGAGTTTTTTGTTAATATATGCATTTAAGGCTATCAGTTTTAATCTGAATATCATTTTGGCTGATTTCCTTAGGTCGTATTCTGTTAGTACTTTGTTGGTATTTTATCACTGATTTCCTTCTACCTCTAAAAGTTTTTTTTTTTTTTTATAAGGAGATAATTTTTCTGTCATCTTGTTGGTATATTTCTTACATTATGACTAGAGAATGTAGCCTTCTGTGTTTTTTTTTTTTTTTTTTTTGTCTTTGAATTTGTTAAGATTTTCTTGTCACCATATACATGGTCAATATTAATGTACATTGGCTATATTTGTAAAAAAATTGGTTTTGGGTTTATTGGATATACAGTTCTATTTGTTGTTCTGTTATTCTGGCATGCTAATAGGATGTTCATTCCTTATTTTGTTTTCTTCATCCATAGATTTATCTCTGATTGTGAATTTGTTAGTTTTTTCCTGAATTATTGAAACCTGTTTTATCAATAGGACATATCTTTTTTTTTGTTCTATTACTTGATTTTCAACTTGAGTTCTTTTTTATATGTCATATATAGGTTTCATATGTATACCTACCCTTTTTTGGGGTTACTATTTGCCTAGTGTATCATTTTCTATCCTTCTATTTCAACCTTTAAGGTATTACTCTAAGGTATGTCTCATTTATAGTGCATAGCTAATGATATTTTTGTTGCTTTACACAGCTTGAAACCCACCAGGTTTTTCCCGATTGATAATTTTCTTTATTTTTGTCCCATATTCTGCAACTTATTAGTTTGTTAACTTACACATTGCAATTATCTGGCATAAATAACGTTTTTATTTTAAAGATGATTGATCCTCAGTTATTTCAGCCTGCTCAAGAGTTTTACCTTTGGAACTTTGCTAATTTCCTTATCTGAATTCCTTCATAGGGTCTTCTGCTGTCTTGTCTTATACTTATGTTTATCTATAATTGTTTTACCAAGGGTCTGCGTTCTCTGTCTTTGCTTAGAAGTAATATATTTATTTCCTCACTCAAGCTGATTGTTAGCTTTGCTAGCTATAGAATTCTACAGTGAAAATAACTTTTCCCATGAATTTTGAGGGTACTTTTTTTTTTTAGCTTTCAGTATTGCTGATGACAAGTCTGATGCCAGTTTAATTCTTTCTCTTCTGTAGTTAAATGATACTCTAAGTTATTAATATTTCCCTATAATGATTTTCTGAAATCTTATCACAGTATGCCTAGGTGTCAAAAAAATTTTATTTTGCTTGTTTTAATTTAGTCTGTTTTGGGATTCAGTAGGCCTTTATTATTGGAAAACTTGTGTATTTTTTCAGATTTGCTGATTTTTTTTTTTTTCTTATGTTTTCTCTCCTTTTTTTCTTGGTTCTTTTTTTCTGAAACTTGAGTTAATTGAAAGTTGTTGCTTTTGGGTATATTTCTTATGTGTTTGTTCTTGTGGGTGTAATAACTTCTCATACACTTAGAGGATTTTTTAATATACTATTTTAAAATGTCTTCTGTTTATTCTCCTACTAATTAGCTAGTGTTTTTTGTGGGGTTTGGCACCTGACCTTTTGTTTTGAGTTCTTGAATTATTTGAATTCTTGAATGTATTTGAATTCTTGAATGTATTCATTTGAATTCTTGAATGTATTCATTTTGGTATTTGAGATTTCCTGTTTTACTTTGGCTGGATGCTGATGGTTCAGGTGACTGTGAGTGGTGGGCAAGTGGTACTTGCTGCACATGGGTTATGCTGGTAATTTGTCTTTGGGATGGTAGCTTCCATGTCTCTCTGG